TGTCTGTGCTACTTCGCCCGGCCCAGATGTGTCCTTCCTCCACGCCCGGCGGCCCTCGCCTCCTACTTTACATTGTGTTTGTCAATCACAGTCGACACTCAGTCATTTGTGTCAGTTGCAGCGCTCAGCATCGGTGAGACAAAGACGTAACTCACGGAGTGACTCCACGGTTAGGACAGGTCACTGGCCACGGTCCCCACGACTGCTCTGGGGCTGCCGATCGTACTTCTCAGCCCCCTGGCCCCAGCCCTCGGCCTCCTCTCTGGCAGCCAGTCTGTCCTTCAGTCTGTCCTTCACGGCCCTGAGTCTGGCCTCCCTGTTTTAAAGGAAACGACCCCTCCGTCCACTGAGCACCCCTAATCGAAATGTTGGTCCCACTCGAAGGCCCGCGGCCTCTGCCTCCCTCCGTCCTCACTGTCCCTGCCGCTCGACCTCCAGAACCTCCCGCATTCTCCGCCTCCAGGCTCGCCACCCAAGCCTCCTCCGCACTCCCATCAGACGACCTCCGGCGACCTTTCCCCAACACACAGCGGATCACACGGTTTCCTGCTCAGAAACTTCTGGCGGCTTTTCCGCGCCGACTGAGCTAAGAGAAGCCGCGCTGGCGTGGAACCGTCCGCCTCCCATAACCTGTCCCGGGCCCGTTCCCGGCTCTGAGCCACTCTGCCTGCACCTGGGCCGCCTCGCGGTGCAGGGATGGCGAACCGAGGCTCCACGGGTGCCAGTCCCTGCTGCTTCCAGGGAGCGGCCACGCCCATCCTCCCGCCAGAGGCTCAGACGTGGCTCTCTTTTCTTTAATATATTTTTATTGATTTTAGAGAGAGAGGAAGGGAAAGGATAGAAACACGGATGAGAGACACACATCGGCTGCCCCTCACACCCACCCCCCCACGCCCAGCCCCCCACGCCCAGCTGGGCTTCATGAAGCTGAGGTTCTGCAGGAACACGTCCTGGTGAGAATGCTGTGCGTCATGTGACCAGGACAAGAAAACAGAGAAATTGTTTTGAAAGATTTTCAAACCGAGGATTGAGCTCAGAAGGGTTTTGGTGAGCCGCGCTCAGCAGGAATTCAGGGAACTCAGGCAGGCTGGTCTCTGAGCAGATGGATTAGACCTGACGGCTCAATAACGCGGCCCGTTTCAGCGTTGGTGGTGGCTCCACGCGGCCCCAGAGACACCCCTCCCGCCAGACCCCCCATCGCGGCTCCACCGGCTTCACCGCGGGGCTCGGCTCGGCCAGGGAGGCGGGGGGGGGGGGCGGGCTCTACTCGTGACTTTGAGAATCGCGCCCACTTCATGAGCCGTCGGCAGACATCCTATTACCTCGCTGGCTGCCTTTATCCCCGAGGATCGCGGGCTGGCCTGGCGGAGGCAGAGCGATGTTGAGTTGGTTCTGATAATCTCGGAGTTAGCACTGGGGTTTGAGAGCATCCCTGGTGACTGAGTGGCTGAACCCTCCCCTTCCCTTCCCGAGGCTGTGGTCAGTCACCACGGCTCCACCTCCAGCAGGCGCTCCCCAAGGAGCTGCCTCCAGCCACGTGTGAGAGCAGGGCCAGCACCCCGAGAGCAGGGCGGCGCCCCAGTGGGGCTGGTACCCCCGAGAGTGGGGCTGTGCTTAGCGTGGGCCAACCCAAGCCCCCCGCCCCCCCACCCCCCGAACTCCTGTTACAGAGATGTCCCGGGTGCCAGGAAGTCCAGTACGGCTGCAATGCGAGTCCCGAGCATGGACTCCAAGCATGGACTCCAAGGGGAGGAGGGGTTTGGGCCCAGCACTGAGAACCCAGCCTCCGCATACATACGTTCAGGGCCCCGGGTGACTCTACCAACCTCCTGCCCTCAGCCCAGGGAGTGAGCGTGAGCCTGGGGCACAGCTGTGCTTCCTGTGGGTCTAGGCTGGGCCCCAGGGGTATGACTAGGGGGCCCCCCCGGAGCCAGTAACCGCAGGAGGCCTGCTGGGAACTCTCAGGCCCCTCACAGACGGGAGGGGAGGGAGGGGCCTCCGTGCGCTCGAGGAGGCTGCCTGAGCTTCCACCTCCCAGGGCCCAGCAGGTCCAGGCCTGTCCCATCCCTCCTGTGCGGCCCCAGAACCAGGCTCTGGCCCTGAGTCCCGCCCTCCGGCCGGCCCAGCAGCTCTGCACACAACAGTGAACGGTGGGTTTCACCGCTGGCAGAGACGCGTGGGCCGACAGCTGGCTGCGTGCGCCAAGCCCTGCGTGTCACCCCCCAACCCCGGCCCCCCGTGCGCTGTGTTCACGGTGACAGAGGGACAGAGGGACAGACGGACAGCTGGGGGAGCCCAGGACGGATTCCTCTCCCGCGGGCTGGGCTTGGCGGAGGTTCCGTTGCTGGCGCGCAGGAGGGATGCAAAGTGAGCTTGGTTTTAGCAAATCTTCTCTCTGGGATATTAAAGATGCAAACTCCCTGTTCCCACAGAGGAGCTGTGAGTCCAAACGTTAACACTGAACGCAGATGAACAGAGCGACGATGGGAGCTGGGGTGGGGGAGGGGGTGGGATCGCAGGCCCCAGGCTTCGGGAAACACGAACCCCTAGCGACCAAGCAGGACCCGCGAGCCCCACAGCAGGCTCGCCGACCAGTCTGCTCCTGTTTGATCATCTCGGTTCAGTCTCTTCCATCGTCCTCTCGGGGAAGCGCTCACATGCTCCCGGGACAAACGGAGCATCTCTCTTCCTGGGATGGAAAACAGACTCCTCGTCTTCAATGAAGTGAGCGACGCCAGGCTGGGAGCGGGGCCATGGGACTCAGTCACAGCACAGGCCCCGTGAAGCGCATGCGCCCGCGCTCCCGGAGGGCCGAGCAGTGAGGCAATGATCACACACACACACACACACACACACACACACACACACAGTTGTAATAAAAAAGTAGCCCTCTGTCTTCATGGTTTTGTTTATTATTGAAAAAATATATATATTTTTACTGATTTCAGAGAGGATGGGAGAGGGAGAGAGAGAGAAACATCAATGATGAGAGAGAATCAGTGACTGGCTGCCTCCTGCATGCCCCCATGGGATCGAGCCGGCACCTGCCCACACCTGCCCACGAGGGGGTGGGAAGCTGAGGAACCGCTCTGGCCTCCAGAAAGGAAGGACTCAGCAGGCGGGAGAGGGCAAAGGGGCGGAGCTGAGCGCAAACACAGAGACAAAGGAGCTCCAGGAGACGCAGGGAAGGGGGAGGAGCAGGGGAGGGAAGGCCGCTGGAGAGCTGGGCGTCCTTCATGGGCAAGGAGCTCTGAGCAGGTTCCTTCCCCCGTGGAGACCAGAGACGTCAGGCCTGGGGTGGAAGGGCCTCGGCCGCAGGAGGCAAAGCCACAGGAAGGAGGCAGCGAGCACCTGCCAGCGCGTAAGGCTTGGGCGGCCGTTTCCAACAGGCAGTGATCAATCCCTTTTCAAAACGACAGCAACGTTCCTGGACATGTAACTCAAACCAACCACAGCCCAGCGCCCACTCAGATGCCTCCACAGGGAACGTGCGGGGCTCTGGCGGCAGCACCAGGAACGGCATCTTCCCGCCTCGGTGTGAACGTGCCCTCAGGTCTGCCTCCGTCTTCGTGACTGTGATCGAGCCGCTGCAGGGCACTGCCCGGCGATGGGCCCGACTGGCTGGTACGTCCCAGACGCGGGGCCTGCGACGCCTCCCGTGCTTCCGGGCACACAGCGCTGCGGCCCCTCTCCTTGCGCCTCTCCCCTAAGGGACGCTGTCGAGAGGAGTGACCGGGAGGGGCTGGGTGTCCTGCTTCCAGGCACCGGCTGGAGAGACCTGCCGACTTCAGTCCTCACAGTTTACCAAGACCGGCCGCTCACGTGACCTGCCCGGGAGGAACCAGGTGCCGGAGGAGTGTGTGCGCTGCCTTCGGAGGGAGGTCTGAGCCCACCTGGGAGGTGTCCGCTAGGGCAGGGTGGCCTCTGGTGGTCCGCGAGGTCCGAGGGCCTGGCGACCGCTGCCCTAGGCCCATGTTCTTACTGGTTTCTGCCTGAGGACCTATCCGCCGTGGTTACACTGAATCCACAGACCAACCTGAGAACTGCCGTGCTATCAATGTCGACTTCTAAAACATGAACGCCGTGCATTTCTCCATTTATCTAGATCTGTAACCTCTTAGCAATGTTTCATAGTTTCAGTACTTTTGTTAAATTTATTCCTATTTTAGTTTATTTTTAGATGCCACTATAAACTAATTGTATTTTTCCATTTTCAAATTGTTTACTGATAATATATATAGAAATACAATTAACTTAGTTTGGAATATTGGCTTTTATGTCCTGTAATCTTCTTAAAGACTATTTTTTCTTTGACTCCCTATATATTTACCTATAGTGTCATGTGACCTGAGAATAGTCTTACTCTTCATTTCTAATCTGCGTTCTTTCATGTCTTCGTCTCTGGGTGGGATCTGAGGAGCGAGGGTGAAAGCCGGCACCGGTGGGACCGTAGAGACCAGACCCCTGAGCCCTGCAGCCTGGTGTGGGGTGAGGCTCGCCTGCGGCATGACCAGCCAGACGGGAGGCCAACGGCGCTTCTGGGGCCGGGCCGGGGGCACCCGGGAGTCTCCCTGCAGCTCCGTAGCTGAGGGGCCTGGGCGCCGTGAGGGAACTGCTGGTGTCGGACACGGTTTTGAATCCAAGACTAAGCCCTCATCACTTCCATGCTGTCATTACCTCGACTCTCGAAGGTGTATCCCAGGAGTTGATCTGTTGCGACGTCGAGGGACTTGAATTCTGGGGGAGCCACAGCTACGTGAGCAGCCGCCCCTCCCGCTCGCTCGGGGACTGGGCAGCGCTGCCCTCAGGAGGTGACCGGGCGGCTGGCCAGTTCCCTCCGGGACAGCAAGCCTGAGGCCAGCGTGGTGGACCCGCCCCTGCTCCGGCCCTGGCGCTCAGGGCTCCGTGCCGCTAACCTAACGGCCCAGGGACGGCGTGGCCCTCTCTGGTGACGGCGGCTAGAGACCCAGCCTCTGACGGAACTGAGGGCGAGGCCATTCTCTGCACCGAGACCATGAACCGATCGCACTTTATTTACCAGGTGAGAGACCGCGGTTGGGAGCTCTGATCACGGCCACTGCCTGACACAGGTGCCCGGGCAGCCCGGCCTCCGGGACGCGGGGCCACGGGAGGACTCGGGCTGCGGCTGGACGGCCCTCTGGGGGCTCCTGCCCACGGACTCCGGTCTCCGGGAGCGCTGGACGGAGCCGCCTCAGGTGCGGGCGGCGTCACTGCGCAGCAGGTAATCCTCGCAGGCGCAGACCACGTGCTGGGTCACCGAGTCTGGGGAGAGAGAGGGCATTCGGTGGGTCAGTGACCAGGCGCACAGAAGCCGTCCCCTTTCTATACAAGCAGGAGCCGTCCTGTGAGGTCTGCGGTGGCCCAGAGCCGCACTCTCCCGCGTCCCCGCGGCCACAGCACATACATCAGCGGGAAATGAAATACAAGGAAAGACGCAGCCTCAGGCACACACACCCCACGCTCGGCAGCCACCGGTGCTGTTAGAGCTGCTGGTTTAGCTCCTCAGACCACCAAACAGGGACCCCATGGGTGACGCCCGCGCCGGTGAGGGTGCGGAGCTGCGGTCGGCACGTAAAGCACACGCCGGCCCAGGACGCCACGGCCACGCGTCCATTTCACAGACACACTCAGGCCTGTGCGGCAAGTGAAGCTCCTGGGAACGCCTTCAAGTACGACAGCATCACCATCCAGGTAAAGCAACACCTCGCTTCCTGGTGCTGGGAGTTTAACGCTGTTTTCCTGCTTATTTTCATACACATTCAAGTGCCCAGACGGGTTTCTCTCTAAGAAAATCCCCATTTCTCCTGCTGGTTGAATGAGTCACTCGGAGTCGTGGCCTTGGTGTCCTGCGCGTCAGGAAAGACGGACCCTGGGGACTGAGGGGGACACAGCCGCTCCCAGAGCCTGGCTGGAGGTCAGCGGCACCTGTTCTCCGGGGTTCCCAGAGGCAGAGCAGGCGCTGGGGGGGGGGGGGGGCAGGAGCTAAGAGTTAGGGGACAGAGCTGTAGATTTGGGGCAGCTCTGGGTAGATGGTCTCAGAGGACTCCTTGCCCCGCGGGCGGCACTTGGGCCAACAGTGAGAAGCAGGCAGGTCCATGTCAGCCGTGAGGAATGATTGCAGGGCTCTGCCGGGCAGGCACATGGACACAGACATCCACCAAGGCCCAGGCGCGTGGACACAGACATCCACCAAGGCCCAGGCGCGTGGACACAGACGTCCACCAAGGCCCAGGCGCGTGGACACAGACGTCCATCCAGACCCAGGCGCGTGGAAGGGCGTGGGCAGGAGGCTTCCCCCTGGAGAGCCCTGTCCTATCCCAGACAGCGCTCTCAGGGAACGCCAGGCGACACTGCAGTCAGAGGCGCCCCCGACCTCCCGTGTGACCCCCAGGACCCGGCTGTCCCTGAGCCTGCAGTCAGAGGCGCCCCCGACCTCCCTGAACCCCCAGAACCCTGGCTGTCCCTGAGCCTGCAGTCAGAGGCGCCCCCGACCTCCCGTGTGACCCCCAGGACCCCGAGCAGGTTCCTACCAAGGATCCACTTCTCCGACAGGTACGTGACGGTCTCCTTCCTCCTCCCCTGGCAGGGCCCGATGAAGAGGCTGGCCTGGCGAGGGACCCCGGTGACCCGACCCCCACACAGGAGGACCAGCTCCCACAGCTTGGCTCTGGGGGGGTCGCTGGCTGGTGAGATGAACATCGTGGGCTGCTCGGCGAACAGCGTCCCCTGGTACTGCCCCGCGGACAGGTGGCGCTCCTGGCGGCAGAGCTGTGGGCAGAGACACAGGGTTAGGCCTGAGCACATCGTGTGGGGAACAGGCATGGCGACGCTCACGCCCTCTTTGGGGGGGCAGGTGGCGGCACAGACACTGACATTCTCTGAAGCAAACTCCAGGCACACAACTCACAGGCAAGAAAGGGTCAGGCCTCTGAGCTGTTTCGCGTGCTAACCGAGCTGCTGGGAACACCCAGCTGTGCAGCAGAGTGAACATGGTGTCCACGCGTCCCGCTGCCCGGACAGAGGGCCCCTCACGGCCTTCGCCCCGCCCCCTCGTGCAGGGCAGCCTGTCACAGGCCCGGGGAGGGCTCATTATGCGGCACCGCGGCCCACACGGGAGAACCAAGCAGAACCCCTCACGGCCCCCGAGCACGCAGCCGGGAGGGACACGGGCACAGGGCTGTCAGGGGCACCGGGGAAGGGGAGGGGCAGGCCTGGGCAGCGGGACCCGGGAGGCGGGAACGAAGACGCCTGGCTGTAATGGAGCTCCTCTGCTCGGCTCACGGTAGCCGGAGTCCCCATGCCCTGCCCTGCGCCCTCGCAGGGACTCTGACCGCGGAGCCCAAGCAGCCCCTGTCGGAACTCTGAGTTCAGGCCTCACGGCTCCCACTCCGGCCACGCCTGCCAGGCTTGCTGTTGGCATTTCCTTCACTGACCACGGAGCAGACAGGGCCCAGGTCGGTGTGAGAGCACGGCTGCAGTATCATCTGAAAACAGCACTCGTAAAGCTGCTCATGTTCAGAACGAAAGCCGCGGGCACTGAAAGGGGCCGAGTCCCAGACGAGCACCCGAGGCCAGGATCCGGCTCCACAGCAGTCTGACCGGCTCTCCCCACCTACGGACTCTGCTCGTGCCTGTGCCCGGACGGGGTGGGTGGGAGGGAGACAAGATGATAGACTGGGTGCTCCTCCGGGCAGATCCCATCTCCGCCTCCTGCTCTGTGACCTGAGCTCCGTGTGCAGATGGGTCAGCACCAGGGCTGCCCGGGGCGGGGACAGGCCAGCGCCCAGTCATGCTGCCGGGTGTTGACACGGGCACCCCACCCAGCAGAAGAGCCTTCAGCCTGATGGACTCCTCAGCAGCTACAGACTCCGCAGCCCAAGCCCCTCCCACTCGGAAACACCTGCCCCTGGGCCCCAGGACCCCTCTCTGGGTTTGCTCCTTGCCCCTCCCTGAGCCTGGGCCCACCTTCTCCACCAGGCCACGCTATCCGAGAATTCTCTTCCCACCGCAAGCTCCCTCCCACCAACAAGGCTCATTCCTGGCTTCAGCACAGAGCTCCGGGCCCTCAGACCAACCACCCGCTGGTTCCGTTCCGATGACTTGCAGGCCTCCCACATGCCACAGGCCTGAATCCTCACTCACCCTCCTCACCCCACACCCGGTCCCCTACCCAGCAGCCGCAGTGACTGGGAGCCCAATGTGTGCTGGCACCAGGACCCAGCCCGGGCACCCCTTGCCGTGGCTGAGGAGAGAGTCTTGCTGTGTCCGGCTCAGTGCAGACAGAGGGCCAGGTCCCACCAGGTCACGGAGCCCAAGTGGAGGCCTCGGGTTCCCACCAGGCCACTCCGCTCTGAACAGACACACGGTTGCTCCCAGAATCTCCGGTCATGGAACCAGCCACCCTGGTGGAAGCAGCGCCCAGGAAGTGCCCTCGCCTCTCCTCGCCCCTGCCCCTGCCTCCAGGGCCGGATCTGGCGGAGCAGAGCTGGTGCAGGCACGGAGCCTGCTCTCCGGGAGCCCAGGACGCCCATTTCCTGGAAGACTGACAGCACCAGGGGGTGAGCCGGTGAAGGGGAGCCGCGAGACGGGGGACGACGGCACCCACGCACGAGATGCCGGGCCTGAGCTCCGGGACTGTCAGTGAGGCCTGCCCCACCCGCTCCTGCCGTCGACGGAGATGAGGGGACGGGAGACCCAGTGGCCATGCCGGCCCGCACACCTGCACCGACTGAGCTGCAAACACACACCTCACAGTCTCAGGAGGGGAGACGGGAGGTGTGGAAGCAAAGCCAGGAAGAGCGGTGCCAACGACGCCAAGAAGCCAGGCCTGGAGGGCGCTCCCAGGGTCAGTGCGTTTAAGTCGCATTAAGTTACTTTCTCTGGCTTTACTGAGCGACAGGACGTGTAATCGGCCCTGACTTGAACACCACCATGTTTCAAAACGTTTCTCCAAACAGGGAAACCGGGGAAGGAGAGGGGGAGGGGGCCCGGCACGGGCGTGTCTCCCGCCACGGGCACGTCCACTAGATGGAGCGTCCGTGCTGGTGCCCGGAGGAGGGGGAAGGCCTGCCTGGCATGCAGGCGTCACCGACGACGGTTCCGGAAGTTCTCGTTTTGGGAGGAAAGTGGAGTCAGGCCCCGGCAGACACACTTCTGGCCCAGCCCCAGCCCCAGCCCCAGCCCCAGCCCGCACCGAGCCTGCCCTGCTCCCCACAGGCAGCTGCAGTGTGAGCCCAGGAGGCTGCTGAGCCGACCCTGTGAGGCCTTGGGTTCTTAAAGCGCCGTTGGCGTTTGCAAGGCTCCTGCGTGATGGGAACAGTCGCCATGGGGACCCACAAATAGCCTCTAAGAGCCCGGAGCCTGGGCTTCCTGCCTCGCAGCGTTCATCACTGAGAGGAGAGGGTCAGCGCTGTGTCCCTGCCCGTGTGTCCGGCTGGGGCGGGCCTCCCGTGGCTTCAACACGTCAGTGAGCTGGCCACACGCCTCCGGGTCGCTTTTCACTCTCGGTTTCCAAAAATCCCGGCAAAACACACATTTGGAAATCGCTCTGGATTCCACAGAGCTTTTTATTTGACCCTCAAACTGCCCGGGACGTGGCACGGAATGTGTAAACCTACGGAAATCCCGACGCCCGTGGTGTCAGTGGAAGTCGGGGCTCGGTGGGGGCCTGTGGCCTCAGAGCCCCTGGTAGTGCCATTAAGTCGGGGCTGCGGGCCAGACAGCGGGCGGCGGTGGCCTCAGTGAAGGGGGTGTGGCCTGGGCGCAGCAGTTAACCCCCAGGTGACCCTGTGAGCCATGCCACCCCATCACAAGCGAAGGGGCTCCGCTCAGCCAGCGTCCTGCCCTGAAAGACTCTTTGTGGTTCTGAGGCTGGGAGCCGCGCACACATCTGCGAGGACGTAAGGAGGGGGTGCCATCTGCCTGGCATGGACCCGCCCCCCCGCCCACACAAGCACAGAATAGGCCGTTGCCTTAGGAAGCTCGAAAAGCGTGACTGCTGGGCCTCCTCCCAGGAGCAGGGCCGGGGGGGGCCCGGGGGGGGGGGGGGGGGAGGGAAGGGGCAGCGCGTCTCCGGGAAGTAACAGGAGGCGAGTTTCCACCTCATGTGACTTTGCAATGACAGCAACGCTGTCCACGCTACAGAAGTGCTGGGATTTCACCACCAGCAGGTCGCCCTGGAGGCCTGTTAGGGGATCGGCTTCTCATCTGTGGGTACAGAGCCCCGCAGACCCCGGACCAGCATGGTCAGTGCCCACTTCTCTTTCAGAGGCTCCCACAGGGGCGGAAGCAGCTGAGGCGTGAGGGCCACGTGCCCTGGGCCGTGGGCTGGCGCTGTCCCTGGTGCTGCAGCCACGGGCGGTGAGGACTGAGACCGGAGGGCTGAGGGCCAGCCCAGCCCAGCTGCCAGCCACAGACGGACGCACAAACCATGTCATGTCCGCAGAGGGAGCCCTGCAGAGGCCCGCCTCCCAACGCAGCGGGAACGCCGCACCCAGAACGCGGGCTCTGGGGGCCCAAGAGCCGGTGCTGGTTCAGATTTGTTCCTGGCTGAATCAGCTTGGGTCTCTTCTGAGAACCCCAGGCCCACGCTCAGCGGGAACCATGCCAGGCGCCTTAGGAACAAGCGCTGCCTGCAGAACGCGCCGCGGGCGGGCACCCCTCCTTGCTGGGCCTTCCCCCTGGGTTATCTCTTCCAGAGCACGCGTCCCAGAGGTACTGCACGGGCGAGAAGTCACATAAATGCATAAGCAACGACGGTCTGGCTTCCGAGCCTCTGCACCAGCTCTGGGCACGAGGTGTCCCCGAGCTCCCGGGCGGGCGGGGAGACAGCAAGGCTGCCTGGCACCTTGTGCTCAGCAGCACGTGGTCGAGACTCAGCCATGTGGCTGCGTGTCCTCTTCACGCATACAGATGTTCTATCACTTTCTGCCTCACCACAGTGTTCATCCCCT